GTCATACATTAAAGCTGTGAGGAAATATTGTTTATAATATTGCATTTTCAGGTTTTTACCTACAAAATATAATGTAAAAGAGAGATAATACTCTTACAAATGACTTACTGTTTCTTCCAAACAAACATACATAAATGCATTTTCTACTTTGGAGGATGACTAAAATAATTTAAACAATAGGACAAGGTTCAAAAATTAATACCTGCTTACTGAGGGATGGTGTTTTCCCAGGCATTTTAAATACACCATTCTGTAAGAAAGTTTCCTGTCATTAACTTTATATGTGTGATTTAAGTTATCCCTGCCATTTTTTTTCTTCTGTTGAATAATCAGTTGTAGGCCCCTGTTAAACCAAACAAATCAGTGTTTAACTCATTCCTAGAAAACCAGTTTTTTATCTAGAGAGAAGCAGTTGGCTTCCTAATCATATTCCATTTCTTTCTTCTTTTGGTATTTTGCAAGGTTTTCAGTAGAATGTAGAAAGTGTGGGTGAAGTCCTGGCTGTGGTGAGATCATTAGAAGTTTAAGTAGTAAAAACTTCATCCTTTGTCTTTTAAGACATGAACCAAGCAGTGAATGTGTTTTCTCACTTACAGTCCTTGCTCTAGTCCTACCATATGTGCCTGCCTTGCACATGTAGTAGTAAAATCTGTTTTCCATGTAAAACCTGTGTCACTAAGTTTATTTATATGACTGGTGTATGAAAGCAGGCGTGGAATTTAAAACACTTACTAAACAATCTGTAATATATTACAGATCTCAAGTAATTAGGCATTCCCATGTCTGCCAGTTGTAGGAAATCGAACAATCCATTTTGCCAGATTTTTCTCTTTTCTTAAGCTAAAATAGTTTGTGCTTCAACTTAAGGGTTGGCTAAATGCAATTGAAACAAATAATTTGATATTCGTTCTTTTAGGGTATTACATTGTTTTAAGTTGAAAGGACTTCCTAGGTTTTGTTTACAAGAAAAAAGGAAATCATGGCCTCTGCTTAAAGGAAAAGAAATAGCAAGAAAAAAATTGCAGATTTTTTTCTGCTTTTGCAACATATTGAGATAATCAAGAAGTTATTTTATTCATACATCAAACAAGTGAACTAGTAGAAGTCAAAGAGTTTTACACTATTTTAAAGATCCTTTTGGATTAATATTGACCAAAAATTTTGTAACAGAGTGTTGTAGTACAGCTGTGACAGATAATAGATCACATTCCATGATAGTAAAAAGATGCTCCTTTTATGATTATGAGTCCATAAAAAACAAAGCCAGCATAGCTTATTGAAACTCCTCTGTGGTAAATCCTCTAGCAAAGGGACCTTTGGTTCTCTACCCATACTTCTTTATTTAAAGCAATTAATTTATTTCAAGTTTGTGAGCCTGTTCCTGAATAGCTTTAATTCTGATTTTTTTTTTTACTTTGTTAATTTAAACTTCAGCCCCGAAGTTTAACTTTGAATTACCTTGTGTGCATTTGTGGGGGTTTTTTATGGTTTGGTTTTGGTTTTTTTCAATGGCCTTGGAATTGCATTGTTTATGAGCTGGAAAGGATAATTCTGAACATGCTCAATGATAGTCAGTTTTGAGGTACTTTGTAGAGTTTATTTAAAACTCTTTTGCACACAGCTGGACAGGCTGTACTGAAGAGGTTACTCTGAAGTAAAAGATGACTTCATGTGCTGAAACTAATGTAAAGTCTTTAGGATGTTATGGGCACTCAACGTGTTTAGAGATGTATTCGCAGGTATAGGATGCTGTCAAGTTTATTTATGTATAAGTTATTACCAAAGTATGATTGAATATTACCAAAGTCTTACGCAGATCAATAAACTTCAAAGCGAGTGCTCAGGGACTTTACATGATTGAATATCTGATATTATGCACCCAGAGTAATGATTAAATTACCTTCTGTTCATTTAAATAATAATTGGCATTCTTAACAAACACACAAACACAAAACCAAATCACTCACTAGGTGCATCCATAAAAAGTTTAGCATGTAATCATGGGAAAAAAATGTCCTAAGACTTTGTGCTGGGATAGAGTTAATTTTTTTCGTAGTAGCTAGTAGGGGCTATGTTTTGGATTTGTGCTGGAAACAGTGTTGATAACACAGGGATGTTTTTGTTATTGCTGAGCAGTGCTTACACAGAGCCAAGGCCTTTTCTGCTTCTCACACCATCCCACCAGTGGGTAGGCTCAGGGGAAATGAATTTGGGAGGGGACACAACTGGGACAACTGACCCAAGGGATATTCCAGACCATATGACTTCATGCTCAGCATATAAATCTGGGGGAAGAAGAAAGAAGAGGGGTAATATTCACAGTTACCGTGTTTGTCTTCCCAAGTCACTGTTATGCATGATGGAGCCCAGCTTTCCTGGAGATGGCTGCACACTTGCCTGCCTATGGGAGGTGCTGAATGAACTCCTTGTTTTACTTGGCTTGCAGGCATGGCTTTTGCTTTACCTATTAAACTGTCTCTATTTCAACCTCTGAGTTTTGTTTTACCCTTCTGATTTTCTCTTTTTTGTCCCACTGAGAGGAACGAGCAAGCAGCTGTGATGCTTAGTTGCCATCTGAGGTTAAATCCTGCCGGGGTTCTATGTCATACAGTAAAGTAGTTGTAGAGGGGAGAATAATACAATGACCAGCAGGTATAATTAGAAAGTCTGTTGGCATGAATTAGAACTACCAGCTTCTTTGAGGTGCTTCTTATTTGGTAGCATTGTGTTTAGAGAAAGACAACTTCATGGCTTATTAGAAACTGTTCCGAAAACAAGTGTAGCCTTTTGAATGTAGAGGATGCAGAGGGAGAAGCCTTTGCTTTCTGTTGCAGCCGAACTGCTGTAACAAAACTTGAATATCTCATGCTATTTTGCAGTAACAGGATAGATGAGTGAAACAGCTGTCAAAAGAGAACTGTGAATATCTTTAGCATGATAGGATAGCTTAGTTTGGAAGGGACCTTCTGAAGTCATCTCATCCAATGTCTTGCTTAGAGCAGGTCTGTAAAATGAGATTGCTTGGAGATTTGTTACAACCTAGCATGCAGCTCAGGGGCAGCATAGGCTTCTAGACCACCACAATCTTTACAAAACTGTGTGAAGCTTGGGGGTTTTTTTCCTGCTACTTGTAAATTAGTGCTAGTTTGCATGCAGCATGCAGCTCCTATTCAAGGAGTTCATGGGCTGAAAACATCTCCTCTCTTTTGGCTAATTTTTTGGGAAAAGAGGAGTCTGGTTTTACCCCTATTGGTTTCTGTTTTGTGCACCACTTGATCTACAAATATGAGGAGGAATGATGGGGATGAGCGAAGAGGAAGAATACAGGCAAGGCAGTGGCATCCACAGAACCTCACACCAAATTTTTTCTTAATGCCTCAGTGGAGTGCAGTCCCAGTGATGTTTCTGGAGGCACAACTGGCTGCCAGACTTTCCCAAACAAAATCATTGTTAACTTGACTTCAGTATAGTCTGTGTTCTTTCAAATACAGCAAGCAGACTTTCAAGAAGGTCTAAATACAAGATAAATTAGAAAGCAGTGTAATTAGTATTGGAAAAGGAATAGGAAGGTCTTTCAGCTCACAGTAATTCTTCGGGGCTTTGAAAGTAGTTTAGCATCTTGCTTTTAGAATAAGATATACAACTTCTAAGACAAATCAGCTCTCCAAACTAGAGTTCAGAAAGTAAAAATACTGTTGAAAAGTTTTCTGGTATGTATCTAAACATGGATATACATTCTGTGAGTCATACAATACTGTCCAGTAGATGTATCTTTACTCTTGACTTGTCTTGCTCTGTATGTAAGAGGTGAGTTTGGTTTGTTCCACCAGTGACCTTGAGCATGTAACTTTAATCTTAGAACAGGCTTCGCTTTTTAAGGTATAGGTAGTTCTTCTGCCTGGAGGAGTGGTGTATTCTGTCAGTTTGGAATGCTTAACCTTTCATCCTTCTGGCAAAGCTCTCCCTCTTTGAGAAAGTCTTGGGATGTCATTTGGTGAGATCCTGAGGATGTGGTTTACGTAAATAACCCAGACTTAAAGTTCTTCTTTGTCATGGTTTGCATCTTGAATACTGCTGTCAGATGTTATGAGTTATGGTAAACAACAAGCAGCAGTTTGAAAACTGCCCTTTTCTTTCCTTTTTTTTTTTTTTTTTTTTAAATTATCTTCCAGCCTTGCATTATGTCAAGAAATGGAGAAGAGTAACCAGTTCCTAAGTCTGCATCATGACTGGTGCCACTAATAATTTGATATGAAGGTGTGCATTACAAGTCTTTGATAATGGGTTTTTTTGTCCTGTGACCTCCCTTTTATGACTTCAGCAATGCAGACTTTGAATTAGATAAGGAATTAAAAATAGGGAAATTTAGATGTCCTATTATACTCCTGTAGGCTCAAAGACTCATTTGTGGCCTCAACAGGTGTTTGTAGGTCTAAAAAATCCTGAAGTGAATACATTTCAACAGTGTATCTTCGGTAGAAAGGCAGTAAGTCCTGGTAGGGTAATGTGTCTTTCAGGGTAAGGATCTTGAGGTGCTTGAATTTTATTCTGTTAAAAGTTGCTGTTTTTAAGATAAACATATATATATATGTGTACATATCTTGAAGTATATGACTGAGGAACATAAAGAGAAGGATCTGCATATTTGCTATAGGAAAATGGTCTTAATGTCATGTATTGTTAACTCAAGTAATTTAAGAACTTGCAAAATTACTCAGAATCCAAAAGAAACGTGAAATATCTTCAACCTCCTCATTACCCCTTACTATTTTTTATTTTATTTCTTAACCAGAGGTCTTTTGCAACCTGTTAAAACCACTCTATGAGAGTATTGTTCGGGTGGAAAGCTCTGATAATTTACATTTAAAATGGCCTGTAGTTGAAATACAGGAAAATCCCTCCTGAAAAATTTGGGTGTTTTTGTTTGTTTGTTTGTTTTCAGATTGACAAAAAGTAGTTGCATACCTCCTCAAATTGTGCAAATGTCGTCTTCTTTTCAGGTGAAAGTTATGTATGTGCGTCCAATGAACCATATCGCAAAGTTGATTACACCAAGAACGTCAACCCGAACTGGTGTGTGAACATAAGGACTGGGTCCAGTCGATCCTTGACATCTCTGACATCCACAAAGAGTGAAGTGAAGGAGAGTAAAGATTTCATTAAACCCAAATTAGTGACTGTTATTAGGAGTGGAGTAAAACCACGTAAAGCTGTGAGAATTCTGCTGAATAAGAAGACTGCTCACTCCTTTGAACAGGTCTTGAATGACATCACCGAAGCCATTAAGTTAGACTCGGGTGTAGTCAAGAGACTTTGTACACTGGATGGAAAGCAGGTAGGAGAATAAACTGCTGTGACCATCTAATAGCTGTGAGTTAATCTAAGCTGCTTTGTTTTCATAACTTGAATTCTTGTTACTGTATATGCTTTAACCTGACTCTGAATAAGGACCGTTAGAAAACATCAACTTAAAAAAATTATGTTAAAATATTAATATATACAACAAACTTAGAATTGTATATAATGCAAAATAAGTTGATCTTTACATTCTAAGTAAAAAAAAATATTTTTATGCTAACCCTGTTGTATTGCTAAAAAAAGTGCCTGTTACTTTAGTAACACAATTTATTTGAAACATTTGAAAGGAAACTTTTTAAAATACTTCTATGTTCTCAGAAGCAGAGTCCTGTTTTCAGACTACTACATAGTGCTGACTGGTAGAAGAAAAATATTGATGCCTCCTTCCATTTCACTTCCATAGATTGCTACTCAAGTAGCAGCAACTGTCGTGATCTAAGGTCAAGAATTTTATCTGAAATTAATAATTCTGGAAGGCTGGTGACATCTCTGCAACTTTCTTTTTTGCATTTAGTTTTACCGCTGCAAAAACATGCTGCCAGGATTAATGATGTGGTAGGTCAGTATTCTCCTGGAGAAATACAGAGGAGTGGCCCACAAAATGTTCTGCTGCACCAATTTCAAGTGTCAGGAATACATTTGTTGTTGGTCAGTCAGGTTAATGACTCACCCCTTCATGGAACAGGACTTTGATACTTGACACTTTTATTTGACATTGATGTGGAACTCTGACAGCATTGTGATTTTTGTAATAGAGCAACACAGGCTGCAAAGTAGATCACATTTGGTATTGGGTACCTGGACTATTATCCTGGTGACTAAATATTAGTATCCCTGCTCATTCAACAAGTATTTCTGTACACCTGCATGCCTGTATATTTGCATGAACATTTGTAGAAGTTTCAGTTGTATTCAGAAATGTAGGAATTTTTATTGTCAAGGTTTTTATAATGGTTGTAATCCTACAGACTTAAAAAGCACTTTTTTGTGGTGCAGGTTGCTAGGAAATGTATTGCAGAACAAGTGCACTTAGATGGCCTCAATATGAGGTCTGTCTCTGGTTATGTTCTGTGTGCTTGGATACGCTTCTTATAATTAAATACATGAAAAGAATAACTTCTGGATTTTGGTATTAAATGTAGCAAGGCAAATGCATCACTGAGACTTGATTTCAGTACTTGGTGGCAGCACTATAATGTGCTCTTTAATTCTTCTAATAGGTTTGATTTTAAATGAGGTTTGTTAACGCTACTTCATAAGACAGAATCCTTCCTAGGAACATGGGAAATGTTTTACAGTCATGTTTAATTTAATTCATAATAAAATGGTTTTGAGGATATTTATTATGCAGTAATTAGTCTCTTCTGGCCATGAAGTCCTCTGTTACTGTCTTGGATAAGATGCTTTTAATCTTCTCAAACTAGTCAGGAAAGGAAACTCAGTTCACATTCACCTCTTTTTTTACATTATAATACAGTAGAAGTTAGCTAATCTGCATTGATGTCAAAGATGCAGTAGTGCCTCAGAGAACAATGAAAACAATTAACATTACTTGCATGTTACCATCACTCATGGTAGATAATGGCTGTCTTCAGTCCATGGTGAGGATGACCAATCACTGGTTATGCTCCAAAATAAAATTCCTAATTGCTGCAGTACCTCCTCCTGCCTTTCTCTGGTAAAGGCAATAATCCAACTTGGACTGCGGATGTAGAAGTGTTCTCAAGCAGGATTGAGAAATCCCTAGTTGTCACTGAGAACAGCCCGCGAATAGCTATTCCTTACAGCTGACTCTCTGTGTAAACATTTTCAGCAGTAGTAGTAGTAGTAGTGAGTAAATGTGTAGACCTCCCTTCCACGTGGAAGAAGGGCCTTTTGCTTTACTGTAGGCTCTGGGAAGGAGCCTTTGTTTGCACAACCATAGTGAAATCGTGTTTTGAGTGGTCATGAGATGTAGTGCCCCAGAGAGAAGACTTATGGCTTTAAACACCCTTACAAAAAAGCCTTCTAGTGCATATCTAGGAAGATGGAGAGTTCTGGGTTTTTTTATTTGTTTGTTTCTTTTTCCCCAAAGTGAAGGGCTGACCCCAGTTTGAGGCAATAGGGGTTTTTTTTAATTTGTTTGTTCATTGCTGGTATATGTAGAGGTTGGTGCACAAGGGCTTTTTGGGGTTTGGCACATAAAGAGTTGCTTTGCTGCCAATTACCAATTGGTGGAAATTTCTGAGCCTATTTTCTCTAATGTAGTAATTGCTTATTCTTCTAAATGTGCTAGGGAGGCAGATCTTTTATGTTTGTTGTAGTGTTGGCACAGCTTGAAAGGCAACCATTAAAAAAAGGCATTTTGTAAATGGCTGTGTTCCTATAAATGTAGCTCTTGTGTTCTCCTGGGTTTGACTTTTTTCTTCTCCCTGCTCCTTCATGTTTTTATCTCTGTGGAAATCCTTTTTTTTTTTGGTAGTGAATAGATTTAGGTTGTATTTTCTGTTTAATATGGAATTGACCCTGAAATTCAGGTGTTTAAAACATGCATGTATAAAATTCATATCCTTTTATTAGGGAATGTGTTGTTCTGTTAACTTGCGGGGTGATTTTGTATTCCAGTAGAAGTATTTAACATGTGTAGTAAGAAATGATGGTGAAATCAGTGATCTAGGCAGAGGTCTTTCTAAGCAGTACAACAGAAAGGATGTCCTCAAAATAGTTTTTATTTACCCTTCTGACTTCATTAATCTTGACTGTAGCAACATCTTGATGATAATAGTGATACAGAGAATAACATCCGAATTGGATATTTTCCTTGATTACTGTGTGTGAAGACAGACAATTATCTAGCTTTTAATTGTAAGATTTTATAATATTTACAAGGTTTCCTTTTATCTTCAGTTTCAATATGCTGTAACTTATTAGTTACATAGTGCTTTGTAGCCTCAAGTACAGATTTATTTTTTAACTATGTTGATGCAACGCTGACTTTTAACTTTCAAGCTATTGAGGAACCAACTTTTTTTACCTCCCAAGAATTTTTTGAGGGTTTCTGTGTGAGAAAAAATATTTCTATCAAAGTAACTAGGCTTTAACTTTGCAGTGCAGGCTTCTGCTATTCCAGTCTTTGTGCTTTTGACATTGAGGTTTGCCTAATATATTTGCTTGACCAAAGTGTTTTCCTTACTTGGCTGCATTTTTCCTGGAATCTGTCACTATCCTACTGTGAAGCAAGGACAGTGAGACTGAACCTTCTCCAGTTGGGAAGTTAACCATTTGTTCACCCTGAAGAGAACAAAGGGCTTCTTTCTTGCTAAACAAGTATCAAGCTTCAGTCATTGCAAAGTGTGGAGTGGCAACTTAGTGGTAAATTACCTGCACTGGTTGTTTAAAAGCATTTATTATATTGGGGGAGGGGTAGGGGAAATTTCCTGTGAGAAGCTCACAAAAAACCATGCAGAACTCTGAAGCACGGTACTGAAGAACTCTGAAGTTATTTGACACATGATAGAAAATTCAATTTTCGCGCTTTTTAGGCTTGCAATGTGTTGCAGTTTGATGGATTAATATCCGTAACAGAATTCAAAAGGTGAATGAGCCACCTTTTCTGTACTCCACTCCCAAAGTAGTGAGAATGCACTACAGATTAGCCTTAGTTTGAAGGTCTTTTTTGGTGGGCCATAGGTATGATGGTGGCTGTCTCTGAAATGAAAAGCTCCACAATTTCTGTTAATGAGGGTTTTTTTAATAAAGTGCTAATAAAAGTAAATAGGTAACTGAAGAAAATAGATACTACGTGTGGATGTATTTATCAGACTCATCATGCTCTCCTCTCAGTAATTTTTTTTATTTTCCACTTGGAGATTTGAAACTTCTTAGTAGAGAGGATAACTTCTGTACACTGAATTTTGTATTTGCTTTGCTGTTAACATGCCCATCATAGAGAGGAGAAACCAAAACAAGAGATGAGCAGGAGAGATTTCATTTATTAGTATAACAGATATTCCCCATATTCTTGATTGAGTTCTTTTGGCACATAGCCTTCAGTCATTCAGACCTGCACATTTCCATTAATACAGTATTTTTGCTGTAGTCTTAATCTCAGTGAGATCTGACTGTTTAGTACACAAGTTTTAGAACATGTGAATTTTGTTTTTTCTCAGTTTTGCAGTTTTGTGTGTCAAGTCCTATTGTATGAGATGATTTTTTAAAAATAATTTTTTTGCAGTTAAATAAGTTTTTTTAGCAAATATTTCCCTTTAGTTCAATTCTCTCCTACCTAAGGAGGAGGTTCCTTAAGAAACCTGGCTCTAGGAGTTAAGTGTACTTTTTTATTTTTATTTAATCTTATGTCATTTAATTGTCCTGTTACATCATTGATATCTCATTGCAGGCTGAGAAACAACTGTAATAGAAACTTGCTTTAGTGTTAGCAGGCATTATTTGTAGTTGAAACCTGCTAAAGCCAAAAGAGTTTTTATCTTGCATCTCAGGCTCAAACCTACTGCAGGCACTACACAAATGCGTTGGAAATCAAACAGATTTGAATTTCTGCTACAGGCAATTTTGGAAGAATATAGAAATCTCCAGCTTTTTTTGCAGTTCTAGTTCTGTTGAAATTTAGCATACCATTTTAAGCTGAAATGTTGCATTAATCTTAAGTATGAAGGAAAGAAATCCTTAAGCCCTTGCCTATCTTGCAACTCTTAGAAAGGCTTATGTACTGTTGAAGAGGAATGTCAGTGACAGCTGGAAAGAGAGTGAATCTCTGCATTGCAGATCCCACAGAAAGTTGGCATTCGTGGGCAAGGAGTCTTTCCTTATTACTGTGTGACAAATAGTAAAACATATTGTGGAAATGAAACCAGAAGTTGTATTTAGATTGTCTTTAAAAAGAGAGACAAAGGGAAGGAAACAATGGTGGCTATTTCCCTGTATCTGAAGTAAGCTTTTGGATATGCTGTCTTTTCTCATCAGTCAGCTAGGAAAGCA